AGCGAAGAAGACTTATGACAAAAAATAGAAAATTTCGTCAGGTCTACACTGGAAAACTGTGCAAGGGATTAAGAAATTGAATCCAAAAATATAACTTTCACTTATCTTTTCAAAATCGTGCTGCGCGCGTTGACCTTGCCTTGTTTCAGTCCTCATTCATCATCTTCTGTCTATTTCTTTTTGAACTCCTCTCTATATATCGAGCAATACAACTCAGATCGTACAGGCAGCTCTGCGTGTGTACGGAGTGATTGCTCAGTGGGTTGAGAATCAGGCCCAGTGCTCTCCGTGACAGTCATGCTTGAGATCGCGCGCCAATCCCCTCTAGAGTAAATACAATTTTATTCAATTAATACCCTTTAAGGTACATTAAGAGCAAGCAAACGTAAACTTTGGTGTGCATTTTAGAAGACGCAGATAGACTCTGTACAGTATTCAGTTCATGCTTTTGGAATAAGCAGTCAGGTTGGCTCCGTTTGCACTGACTTGCGGCGCATTGTGAGCTTTGTTGGGTGGCGGTTGGTGTATGATTATCGTCTGCTCCGTGTTGATGATCAGGCCGAAGTTCTCGCAGGCGACGACGAAGAGGTCCGTGCTCCTTAGCATTTCCCCTTCGGAGTTGGTGTTGATTGCGCAGTCGTCGGCGAAGAGAAGTTCATGGACGGTCGTTGTGGGTAGATGCGACTGGAAGTGCTTCCGTCGGTGGTTGAGGAGTTGGCCGTCCGTCCTGCAGGTGGGCGGATCCCGGGGTGTTCGTTACGGTATGCGTCCATCAGGAGGGCAGAGAACATGAGACTGAAGAGGGCGAGCACGAGGATGCAGACCGCTTCACTGCGCTTGCCACTGAAAGTGCCTCTCAGACAGCTACACTGCCCGTGACTCGCGCCACTATATAATTATTGTTGAGTTGACGCATCATGCGCGTGAATCATTCAGGATAGCCGAATTACTGCATGGTTTTTCACGATCCTTCGCAATTTATCGTGTCGAAGGCCTTAGTCAGATCCACGAAGCT